AAAAAAAACAACTTCCATCCTGGCAAAAAAATAACAAATCAAGGAAGCTGATGTGGCAAAAGGGGTAAACATTTTAACAAAATAGAGATCACAGACAATGGAAGATGGGGAGAAGTTGTTGTTGTGGATCAGCGAGAAACAGTTAGCAGGAGATGGTATTTCAGAGATGATCATTTGTGATAAGGCAAGGCAGTTGCATGCAGATCTCGTAAACAAAATGCCTGGAACTAGTGCTAATGTTGGTGAATTTAAGGCCAGCAAAGGCTGAGTTGAGAGATTTAAGAAGTGTAGTGGCATACACAGTGTTGTAAGGCATGGTGAAGCTGCAAGTTCAGACAAACATGCGGCTGAAAAATTTGTACAGGAATTCAAGGGGTACATAGAGACTGAGGAATTTCAACCCCAACAAGTGTTCAGTTGTGATGAAACAGGCCTCTTTTGGAAGAAAATGCCAAAGAGGACCTACATCACGCAGGAGGAAAATGCACTGCCAGGGTACAAGCCTATGAAGGATAGGCTAACTCTTTTGTTCTGTGCTAACGCTATTGGGGATTTTAAAGTGAAGCCTTTGCTGGTGTATCACTCTGAAAATCCCAGAGCGTTCAAGAAAAACAATGTCGTCAAGAGTAGATTGTGTGTGATGTGAAGGGCTAACAATAAGGCATGGGTCACAAGGCAAATTTTCATTGACTGGGTCCATGAAGTGTTTGGCCCATGTGTGAAAAAATACCTCCAGGAAAATGAATTGCCAGTCAAGTGCCTCCTGGTAATGGACAATGCTTCTGCTCATCCTCCAAACTTGGTAGACCAATTGTCTAGAGATTTCAGTATTATAACAATGAAGTTCTTGCCTCATAACACCACTCCTCTCATCCAGCCCATGGACCAGCAGGTCATTTCTAACTTCAAAAAACTCTACACAAAAGCAGTGTTTCAAAGGTGCTTTGAAGTGACCTCGGACACTGAATTGACCCTAAGAGAGTTCTGGAGGAATCACTTCAATATCTACACCTGCCTTATAGGTAAGGCCTGGCAGTGAGTGACTTCCAGGACTTTGAACTCTTCTTGGAGAAAATTGTGGCCAGAATGTGTCCTCGAGAAAGATTTTGAAGGGTTTGAGGCTGACCCTGACAACCCTACACCTGTTGTAAAGTAAGTAAAGTAAATTAAAGTTTATTTCTTTGTAAAGGTTACAATGTGTAATTACAGTTGTGATTTGCTAAGTACAAAGATAGCCACTATCATGCCGAGGCATTTCGGGCAAACTAATCCTAATACATAGTAACTAATTAAAGCTAGATGATTGTGGAATCTATTGTGTCTTTGGGGAAGTCCATGGGGTTGGATGTGAGTGACGAGGATGTGGAAGAGTTGGTGGAGGACGACAGGGAAGAGGTAACCACTGTAGAACTGCAACACCTTCAACTGGAGCAGCAACAGACCACAGCTGAGGAACTTGCTTCAGAGGAGGAGGAAGAGAGGGAAAAGGGGGTGCCTTCTTCAGAGATTAAGGAGATTTGTACAGTGTGGAGTAGGGTGCAAGCTTTTGCTAAGAAATATCACCCTGACCAAGCTGCAACAAGCCATATCTATAACATGCCTAGTGACATAACGGAAATATAAACACATATGCAGTATAATGTGATCCTTTATTGACTACGTTTCGCCCACACAGTGGCTTTTTCAAGTCACAAACAGAACTACCTGTTTGTGACTTGAAAAAGCCCACTGTGTGGGCAAAACGTAGTCAATAAAGGATCACATTATACTGCATATGTGTTTATATTTCCATTGTGTCGGTATTTTATACCATTTATTTCCTAGTGACATAACCTTGGCCCACCTCAGGCAAATCTTAAAGAGGTGCCAGAAACAGAGCTCTCTGAGCAGATATTTTGTGTGACAGTAGTCCAGTGACTCTCAAGCTGGTCCTAGTGCCATTAAAAGACAAAGAAGGGAAATAAACCCTGAGAGGGACTTGTTACCTGAAGTCATAATGGAGGTGGATTCCCCTTCCAAACTATAACCCCAACTCCCTCTCCCCTCCTCGCTTTCTTCCATGTACCATCAAGAGTCTTCAGTAAAGGTATGTAATGTTTATATTTATTTATATATATTTACCATTGTTTTGTGTATGTAAAACTATAATTAAACTTTACAAAATGTATTTTTTTTTTTATTATTTTTGGATGTCTGGAATGGATTAATTGTATTTACATTAATTCTTATGGGAAATATTGTTTCAAATTTAGGCTGTTTCGAATTTAGGCCAACCTACTGGAACGGATTACGGCCAATATTCAGGGTTCCACTGTGTGTCTTTCATTCTATCAAATTATACCAATAATCAGCCAATAAATCCATAAAAACATCCGGGAAAACACCTCAAAGTCAGTACAGTGGAACCTCTGCTTACGAGTTTAATCCACTCCGTGACCTAGCTCGTAACCCAATCTGCTCATGTACTGAATCAAATTTCCTCATTAAAATTAATTGAAATGCCATTAATCTGTTCCAGCAAAATTCCTGCTCTCAATATAATGCTAATATCAACTCTACGGCTTATTTATCTATCACAATTCATCTAATATGACATAATAAACAATATAAATAACATAGAAACCTGTTATATATGCTAGAATGAATATAATTTATCATTATATGACAAGTGGTGGTGGCCATTCCCATTCTCGCTCTGAAAACATCTTCCCATGCTTCCTCTCGCTTGTGTTTATCTGTGATTTCATGCTTTACTTCCATGGCCATCATCCTCTTTTTCTTCTCAGCACTGTCCTTTGCACTTAATTTTTTAGGACCCATGGTTAGAAAAAAGAAATTTGGCAAAATAATTGCACAAAACATAAGCAAAACACAAGAGAAATCCTTCCACTGTGAGGTATGCACATGCACTGGTGATAGTATAATTGGAAAGCGCTAAACCCGTAGGATTATACAGTGCCTGTGGGGGGAGGGGATGGAAGGTATTCAGGCTTAATTTAGGGTACACAAATAACAAGCACATAGAAGAGAGGAGCTTACGATGATGTTTTGGTCCAAGTCGGACCGAAACGTCGTCTTATGCTCCTCTCTTCTATGTGCAGGTTATTTGTGTATCGTTCCAGTCACGGTATTGTGCCTTTTTTTGTTACTTAATTTAGGGAATTGGGGCACAGATACAATTCCCTAGATCAAGAGCCCCTCGCCAGCATCAAGAAACCTCCCCTGAAGGGGAAACTTGCAACCTGAATTGTGGCTCATTTCCAGGAGGAAAAAATCGACTGAGTGACTGCTCATATCCTGAAAAATTTGCATGGTGGGACACTCATAAGGAGAGGTTCCACTGTATTTTAAACCAAACTCAAGGTCAGTTTTCTTTTTCCATCATGCTCTACATGAGGCAGGATTTTTTTTTTTATACAGTACACCATCATTTAGCACGACTTTATATGTCATGATTTGGGTATAGTACGATTGAAGAATTGCAGCACAATTTTATGTAACACGTCGTAAGATGAATTTAACACGGTTCAGTTTGCAGAAGGAAAAAAACTTCCCTTTTCCTCAAGCAGCTGCCTTGTTGTGGATCAGCGGGGGAGACCTCCCGCCGTCCCCAGTCATCCCCTAACAACACCCCACCATCCCAGCATTCGTACTTCATATGTGTCCACTCCAATTTCTCTACTACAAGCTTGTGATTGTGATTTGTGTTTTGATCTTTTAAATGCTATATCTTGTATCTGCCAAGCAATCATAACACCCAGTAGGCATACCAGTGTTGCTCAAAGTGGCAAGAAAAGGTGTAAGCATTTAAGTCTTAGAATTAACGAAGGGAACAAAGATGTCAGACAAGACATCTTGTGGCCATAATGAAGTGTTACTTTTGTACACATAAAAAAGAGGTAAACATAAGTTTGCGTGACTTACTGAATGACTGACTGACTTACTGAATGATGTGACTGACTTACTGAATGACTTGACTGACTTACTGAATGACTTGATTGACTTACTGAACAACTTGACTGACTTACTGAATGAATTGACTGACTTAATGACTTGACTGACTTATTGAATGACTTGACTGATTTACTGAATGACTTGACTGACTTACTAAATGACTTGACTGACTTACTGAATGACTTGACTGACTTACTGAGTCACTTGACTGACTTACTGAATCACTTGACTGACTTACTGAATCACTTGACTGACTTACTGAATCACTTGACTGACTTACTGAATCACTTGACTGACTTACTGAATCACTTGACTTACTAAATCACTTGACTGACTTAGTGAATCACTTGACTGACTTACTGAATCACTTGATTGACTGAATGACAAAGTTAGACACTCCAGTACAACCATCAACTTCAGTACCAGAACCTCTACCATCCATCTCAGCCCAGTAGGGCCTCAGCATAACTCTCCTCTGTCTTCACAATCATCCACAAACACCAGCACCCACAATTTAAGGTAAGAAATTCTATTATTTCTGTTACATTTGTAGTCTTAAGCAGTAAAAGCAACGTAATACATCACAACAATGAACTACAATTACATATTCACTTTTATTTTTGTAAGATGTTGAGGCCTAAAAAAAAGTTGTTTGGCTTTTTTGCGGCTCTCAGGAACATAACCCTAATTTTCCCATAAGTTCTTCAGTTCATCTGACATGGTTTTTACCTAACACGGTGTTTTCAGGAACGTAAATACCGTGTTAAATAACGGTCTACTGTACTGTGCACAATCACTGTGCAGACCCATTCTCTCATATCTACTCCAAAATTTACTACTCAAAGCTTATCTGGGTGAGCGCAGTTCATGATTTAATACTACGTGAGGTATTCTGGGCATAATGTAGTAGTTTTACGTGATGTTAACTGTAAAGGTTAATAGATCTATCAACTTATCTCTTGCAGTTTACCATTTCATGGTGAAAAACAGCCTATGTAGTTTAAAAAAGGTATAATTGCTCTAATTATGTTCTTATTTATTTGTAGAGCGGTGGTCAGCTGTGGGTCTTCGGAGGAGAGTTCACTTCGCTCACACAGTCACAGTTCTATCACTTCAAGGACCTCTGGGTCTTCTACTTCAACTCCAAAAGATGGGAAAAAATCACGTACGTTGATGACTTAGTTTACTGCTACCATAATACCTCTTACCCCTTTCAGGGTTGAGACCCTCGATTCTTAACTCCCACCCAGGGTCGGAAAATATTAAAAAAAAAAAAATTATTTTTTCTTATAGGCTAAAAAAATTTTTTTTTTGCAATAAATGCTTACCGAGATATGGAGTCGTGAAGTTGACAGAAAATGAACCGCTTATGGCAACATCACTGGCTGCCAGTCACCTGGTAAGAATTTATTTTGTTTTTTGTATTTTTTCCTTTTTTTTCTTTTTTTTATGGCCTGTGAGACCAATATAAGGCCTGCTTTTTATATATTCACTATTTCTATACTATACAATAACTGCACAAATATTGTTATCAATATATTGTGTACAAAACATGTTTATGCAAGCCAACAATATAAAATATTGCTTATTCCCACCCTGCCTTGGTAGGAATCAGCTGAGGTGTTAATAAAAAAATAAAAAATATATATACACACAGAATCACTGGACGTGTTCCTAGAAGTGCTGCAGCCTGTGGAAGTCTTTGAAACCTGGTGTCATGCACGGTGGTGTTTCACATTCCTCACACATAAAACGAGTGTCTCTGCATTGTTGTGGTCATTTTTTTTGTATGTTCACAGACATACCACCTCTTCTGAGCCTTTTTCTTAGAAGCAGTAGCAGGCAGTTTTGTTAGGAAGTGATCACCAGGCCTCAGATGAGAAGGTACTTGTTGATAATTTGGTTGATGGTTTTCTATTGCAGGTGCATTATTTGTCTGATGACAGACAAACAAAATTCACAATATGGTGGTTTGTTTCTGGTCTTCAACTTTTACATATTATAAGCATTGAGCATGGAAATGTCCAAAATATAGAATAAGAGTTTTATGTACCACTTATAGCTCTTGCAAACCCAATCTGCATGTCACATTTGTCCACTAAATGCATATTGAGGGTGTAGTCCATCACAGCTGCAGGTTTTAGAATGGGTTCATTCGTCTCTTTATTCTGCCTGCCAGTGTCTGTCATTTCATTAGGGTGAACTGATGACAAAAGTGTGACATCACGTTTGTCATGCCACCGAAATGCCATGATGTCATTGGCAGCAAACATCTGCACCTGACTTCGACGAGTGCCAGCGTCCAAACTAGGCATATGCTTACAATTTCCACGCATGTACCGCACACATCTGTCATGTTCACTCAAGGGATAAAAATACATATTGAATTTCTGTTTCAGATACACAAACACATTCCTAATCTTATATAACCTGTCATTTCTGTCAGGCCTGGTTTTGTCTGAGAAGTGAAGCATACGCAGTATTAACACAAATCGATTCACTCATATTATATCACTGAAACCTGAGATTGCAATCAAGGCGGTCTGTTGAACAGTATGATTTGACACTGTGCTTATACACATGTGGCATAAGCATTATTATGGCAAAGAAAAGATATATCTCAGCCACTGGTGTAGGCATGATTTTGGTGAAAGTATTGTGTTTGCCATGGAGTAATCAAAGTATATCTGTGGCTTTCCCTGACAATAATTTCCATCATGGGATCATCAAAGAATAACTCGAAACATTCCAGTTCAGTGGCATTGTTCCCAAGTGTACAAGATGGCTATATTCCACTTCGACTTTCATCAACTGATGGGGTTTGGGAACAAAATTGTTAGCTTCCTGCCAATCCCAGGTGCAGTTTGCTGGTGGGTACTGGATATTGACAGGTGGTTGTGGTTGTGGAGGTTGGTGTGGTGGATGGGTGGGGGAGGGTGGCCTTTGTTGTAGCTCAGTTGAGTCAGTGGCATGGGTAGCAACGTGGCCTACTGCTGGTGCCTCACGGCTGGCGGCACCACCACCGCCACCGCCACCACTGCTGCCACTGCCACCACCGCCGCCACTGCTGCTGGATAAGTACAGGTCAGCCATAGAAGTAGTCAGGTCTAAGGGAGGGATCCCAGTCATATATAGCATCTTGCCTAGATAGGGAGTGGGCAATGAATGGATGTCTAGGGCAATTGGTATAAATTGCTGGCTAGACAGGTACTGCAAGGAACTTGCAATCCTGTTCATTGATAACTGGAGTGGTGCATTAGCCAATTTGATTGAGGGGGTAATTGATGACTTGTCTAGGAATTTAAACTGATAGATTATAGAGGTATGGGTGTTTGTGGGAAACAATCAGGCTGCAGTATTAGGGTTAAAAACAGCAGTTATTACCGGGATACCTCAGGGATATGTTTAAAATACAATATTCAAAATAGTTGCTAGTAATGGCAAATCAATTGATCAACAAACAAAGAGAGATAGTAGAGGGCAACAAGTGACTAGCTCCCTTAAGGTTTACTATACAAATAGTAGGAGTTTAAGAAATAAGATAGATGAGCTAAGATTATTTGCAAGTATAGGTAATATAGGTTTTTTTTTTTTTTTTTTTTCAACAAGTCGGTCGTCTCCCACCGAGGCAGGGTGACCCAAAAAAGAAAGAAAATCCCCAAAAAGAAAATACTTTCATCATTATTCAACACTTTCACCACACTCACACATTATCACTGCTTTTGCAGAGGTGCTCAGAATACAACAGTTTAGAAGCATATACGTATAAAGATACACAGCATATCCCTCCATACTGCCAATATCCCAAATCCCTCCTTTAAAGTGCAGGCATTGTACTTCCCATTTCCAGGACTCAAGTCCGACTATATGAAAATAACCGGTTTCCCTGAATCCCTTCACTAAATATTACCCTGCTCACACTCCAACAGATCGTCAGGTCCCAAGTATCATTCGTCTCCATTCACTCCTATCTAACACGCTCATGCACGCTTGCTGGAAGTCCAAGCCCCTCGCCCACGAAACCTCCTTTACCCCCTCTTTCCAACCCTTTCGAGGACGACCCCTACCCCTCTTTCCTTCCCCTATAGATTTATATGCTTTCCATGTCATTCTACTTTGATCCATTCTCTCTAAATGACCAAACCACCTCAACAACCCCTCTTCTGCCCTCTGACTAATGCTTTTATTAACTCCACACCTTCTCCTAATTTCCACACTCCGAATTTTCTGCATAATATTTACACCACACATTGCCCTTAGACAGGACATCTCTACTGCCTCCAACCGTCTCCTCGCTGCTGCATTTACTACCCAAGCTTCACATCCATATAAGAGTGTTGGTACTACTATACTTTCATACATTCCCTTCTTTGCCTCCATAGATAACGTTTTTTGACTCCACATATACCTCAACGCACCACTCACCTTTTTTCCCTCATCAATTCTATGATTAACCTCATCCTTCATAAATCCATCCGCCGACACGTCAACTCCCAAGTATCTGAAAACATTCACTTCTTCCATACTCCTCCTCCCCAATTTGATATCCATTTTTTCTTTATCTAAATCATTTGATACCCTCATCACCTTACTCTTTTCTATGTTCACTTTCAACTTTCTACCTTTACACACATTCTCAAACTCATCCACTAACCTTTGCAATTTTTCTTTAGAATCTCCCATAAGCACAGTATCATCAGCAAAAAGTAACTGTGTCAATTCCCATTTTGAATTTGATTCCCCATAATTTAATCCACACCCCTCTCCCGAACACCCTAGCATTTACTTCCTTTACAATCCCATCTATAAATATATTAAACAACCATGGTGACATTACACATCCCTGTCTAAGACCTACTTTTACCGGGAAGTATTCTCCCTCTCTTCTACACACCCTAACCTGAGCCTCACTATCCTCATAAAAGCTCTTTACAGCATTTAGTAACTTACCACCTATTCCATAAACTTGCAACATCTGCCACATTGCTCCTCTATCCACTCTATCATATGCCTTTTCTAAATCCATAAATGCAATAAAAACTTCCTACCTTTATCTAAATACTGTTCACATATATGCTTCAATGTAGACACTTGATCTACACATCCCCTACCCACTCTGAAGCCTCCTTGCTCATCCGCAATTCTACATTCTGTCTTACCTCTAATTCTTTCAATTATAACTCTACCGTATACTTTTCCTGGTATACTCAGTAAACTTATTCCTCTATAATTTTTACAATCTCTTTTGTCCCCTTTCCCTTTATATAAAGGGACTATACATGCTCTCTGCCAATCCCTAGGTACCTTCCCCTCTTTCATACATTTATTAAACAAAAGTACCAACCACTCCAACACTATATCCCCCCCTGCTTTTAACATTTCTATCATGATCCCATCAGTTCCAGCTGCTTTACCCCCTTTCATTCTACGTAATGCCTCACGTACCTCCACCACACTTACATTCTGCTCTTCTTCACTCCTAAAAGATGGTATTCCTCCCTGGCCAGTGCATGAAATTACCGCCTCCCTTTCTTCCTCAATATTTAAAAGTTCCTCAAAATATTCTCGCCATCTACCTAATACCTCCCTCTCTCCATCTACTAACTCCCCTACTCTGTTTTTAACGGACAAATCCATACTTTCCCTAGGCTTTCTTAACTTGTTTAACTCACTCCAAAATTTTTTCTTATTTTCATTAAAATTTCTTGACAGTGCCTCTCCCACTCTTTCATCTGCTCTCCTTTTGCACTCTCTCACCACTCTCTTCACCTTTCTTTTACTCTCCATATACTCTGCTCTTCTTATAACACTTCTGCTTTGTAAAAACCTCTTGTAAGCTACCTTTTTCTCTTTTATCACACCCTTTACTTCATCATTCCACCAATCACTCCTCTTTCTCCTGCCCCCACCCTCCTATAACCACAAACTTCTGCCCCACATTCTAATACTGCATTTTTAAAACTAATCCAACCCTCTTCAACCCCCCCCACTACTCATCTTTGCACTAGCCCACCCTTTCTGCCAATAGTCGCTTATATCTCGCCCGAACTTCCTCCTCCCTTAGTTTATACACTTTCACCTCCTCTTACTTGTTGTTGCCACCTTCCTCTTTTCCCATCTACCTCTTTACTCTAACTGTAGCTACAACTAAATAATGATCTGACA